TGTCATACCGTTATAACTCCAACTCCTAGTCAGATCATAGTCGCCGAGTCAAATTAACAAGCATCATGTGTCTGACAGGGAGAGCGAATCTAACTGTGTCAAATACGATATCATCCGACTTCAACGACAACATTATGTCACCATTATTCCACTTCGACAATGGTGATATTTCTCTATTCATACTCCTGCTAGTATACTGGGACGTGCATTAAGAGCGTCATTCACCTCTACATAGTGACATTAAGGCAACTCAATGACTGGTTCACAGTTGCAAGGATTGCCAGGTAATACAGGGAATGATAGCTAATAGTCAAAGAACGGTATCTTCATGAGCTTCAACAGAGGTCCTCGAAACAGTAGTACTAGTCCGAGCGTGACAACCTTTTAAACGCATCTTTCGCATATACTCGAGAATACTATCCTTCTTGGGGAGCTGTTGCAACACCTCCGGAGGTTCTCCACCAAACACGTCATTGTAGATCTTCACTAAGATACTCCTGCTGTCATCGGTGACCTCCATGGCACGCTCAACGGCTTCATGATAAAGCACTCGAGCACGAGCATTCGGTCGACCGCATATATGATACTTGATTTTATTCAAATTAGTGATGACCATATTCTCGGGGTCTTCGGGGTCACCAGTTGTGATAAGAGTTGATGGACAATGTAATTGTTTATGATAGTTTATGCATCTCCAGTGTAGCTTACCATTGTACGCTGCATCCTGGCGGTAGAGGTAGCCGTGGAAAGCGAGGAAAGGTCGACCAGAGAAGGAAGGCACACTGTACGGCTTCTCGAGAGGAAGACGAGTGAGATCGATTGTAGGGTACTCTGAAATGGGGAGGAAGCGAATATCTCCACGCGGGTGTAGATATGGAACAATTGACAACGCAAAGTTGCACAAGAAACTGCGACTTTCCCTCCTAGAAGTCTTGAGTAGTCTCCGAAAGACGCTCTTAAGAGAAATTTGACAGAACGCATAATTGTCCATGAGACCTCTACAGGCTGAATCTCACTCTGACGAGGTTGCCTATCGCTACCCTACATAGATTTCTCACAGAGATTAATCTGAGTTGGATATTCTACAGCAATCTGTGCGATGAAAGATGGTATGATTCGTACATACTTCGTATCTAGCACGAGTGGACCTAAGATTCATTTCCCACCCAGATGCTTACTCGGGCGAGCCGCGTTGTTCACAGCAGCCACTTTTTGTCTAACTCGTCGTAAGCTATTCTCCACACATTCCCTCTTCGGCAGTCTTTCTACAACCTCTTCTGGAAGGTCAACAACAGTTTTATCGTAGATCTCGGGGATCTTCAAATCCACGTCATTGATCGCCGCAAACTCCATTTCAGCGCAGACCTGTCGAATGTTCGAGTTTGGTTCGCCGCAAACGTGTTCCCTCAATGGTAGGTTGGTAACAGTGAGGTCCTTAGGGTCACCATTGAGATCTCCCTTAACCGTTAGTCGAACACTACAGTGTTGTTCCTTATGCGCATTAATACAGCGCCAATAGGAAGTCTGTGGATTAGCTCTATTGTGGAGGTAGAGATACCCTCGATACGCCAACAGCGGCCATCGCCGACCACTCGAGTTGGGAACGAATTGAATCTCGTCCGTCATTCAACGTGGAAAGTCACAACTACCATCCGCCACAATTTAGCTAATTTACATCGATTCGACGTGCTGTTTTGATCTAGCGCCCGCCCGCGACTAGCATGATTTACCCGTGACCATCATCATGGCAGGCAGAGTGTCTTCCCGGTATCTCATATTAGAAC